AAGGCGGAAGGTACATAGGACAGGTCTAGGGGTCTAGGGGAGGCCAGGCACAGCTTCCAGAGTCCTCCAGAATGTGACAGCACGTTGAAGTAGTGTTGACCTGGGAGCCGGTGAGAGACTCAAGGCTCTAGGGTTTCACTGGGTGCTGGTCATGTGGGCACCCTTTGTCTGGCACATAACAGGATGCTCCAGAGGAGGGCAGGTGTTCATAGACCACATTGTTGCAATTTGGGTACAGGGAACTTGTCTTGCTAGGGGATGGTGGGAATGCTCCTAGAGTCGCATCGCCAGGAGTCGGCTATTTGCTGATGGTAGAGGTGGCCCTGTCTGAGGATAGCAGTCAGGCCTGGGTTCCTATTTTTCTGTGTAGGCCAAAATTGCTYCCAAAGTCTTTTATTGTCTTCAGAGTCTAACAGCAAATGTGCTCTCTTCTGGAGGGCTGGACTRGAGAGGACTGTGGGCAGGAGTGGGTGGACGCCTTGCCACCATCCTGTGCCCTCTTCCTTGCTTGGCATCCTTGTCCTTTGCTCCTCCTTGCCCACCCTTGGGTAGTCCTGCACTGTGGTCTTGCTGAGCATCATGTGGGGTTGGGCAGGGGGAACCAGGAATGAGTGGTGAGGAGATCCAGGTGCTGGGACTTCCCACAACCCTGAGGTGGGCTGTAGAGTCTTCATTTAGCTGAGGCATGTCTGGCTTCCTGCTGGCAGAGAGGCACTCAGCTGACACAGGAGAGGACAGACTGCCAAGAGCCAGGGTGAGTGACACTGCCCAGGAAGCAGAGAGGATCCTCAGTCAGGTTGGGCCAGCCAGCTGGGCAGGGCCTCCTGCCTGCCTGATAGCCCTTGCAGTGTGGTGTGGAGCGAGCAGAGGGAAGGAGCAAGGGAAGGAGATGTGCTGGCCTGGGTCTTCCTTGGGCTCACCGGTTCTCTCTCCAGGGTTCAACTCTACCACCAATGTGGTGGTGCTGGCCGGCACCAACCGCCCTGACATCCTTGATCCAGCCCTGATGCGGCCCGGCCGGTTTGATCGCCAGATTTACCTTGGTGAGTTGCTTAGGTACCTGGGTTTGGTCCTCAGCCTCTGGGGTTAAAAATTGGGTAGATTGTTCGCTGCATATTTGGAGACAATTTTGATGGGGATCCTGAAGTAAGAAAGATAATATTTTGAAAATGTGGAGATACTCAACTACCCCATGGTGCTGCTGTGTTATTATGTCAAAATGTCACTGCAGTGCATGTAGGTGGGCATTATGTAGCAGATTTGTACTCTCCAGCTTTTGTTTTTGTACCATATTATAAAAAAATAGTTTAGAAGACAAAAGAGTTTGTGCCTCACCCTTCACCCTGACAACCCGCTGTCTTTGTCTTCCCTGACACTTTCCCACTGGGACACTAGTCCATGTGGGTGCTCTGGGCAGTTGGGCAGTGCTCATTTTCCTTGCTGTCTGGTTGGTTACATGGCCTGGAACTGGATTTAATATTGGTCGAGGCAGTTAGGGTGTTTCATTGAGTTGAAGAGCTAAACACACATGCACTTTGATCTGTCCTGCCATTGCACCCTGCCTCCAGCCAGGTGACAGTGGCAGAGTGTGCTCCTGGCTGGCCTTGCAGTCGTGTGAGGTGACTGTTGGGGACCCTACTCTGAAGGYCCAGTGAACACAGAGCTTGTGTGTGTCTCCCTGTTTCTTCACTAGGCCCCCCTGACATCAAAGGCAGGTCCTCCATCTTCAAGGTCCACCTGCGTCCTCTCAAGCTGGATGAGAGCCTCAGGAATGATGCCCTGGCAAGGAAGCTGGCAGCACTCACTCCAGGCTTCACTGGTGAGTGTTGCTGGGCTGAACGTTCACCCTGCCGGGAGCCAAGTACGCCCAACTGGTGGCATTTGGCAGGTGTTTTCTGTGCCTTCGTATTTGCTCCTGGCAAGTGTCCACTCTGGTCTGTAGAACATTGAACCTGTTAAGACATTCAAAGGCCTTGGGGATMTTCTCCCCACAGCCTATTGGTGCCCGCTTGAGTTTGTTTTTAATTCTGTTCAGACTTAGTAAGGACCGAAAACTGAAGTGAAGACACATCATTCTTTGGGATGGTTCCTCTGTGTTTCTGTAGCAGAAGCCCAGTCTCTTGTGATACATTCTTATTTTCCTGCCAGAGTGGTCTGAACCCTAGGCATGGGTGCGGACCTTTCAAGGGGCTCCCTGCCCACTCACCCTGTGAGCAGCCTTTTGTAAGCTTCAGTGCCTCGTCAGATTTGAGCAGTCAGAGGAGAACCAGAGAAACTGGAGCTACGGCAAAGGAAGTTAACCACTCCATAGAGCAGAAAGGAACAAGAGTGAAAAGCAAAGCCTCAGGGCCTGTGGCGCATTGCTGCAAGGACCAGCATGCAT